GTCCCATGCCCTCAACGTATTTTGAAAACACCTTTACAGAAAGACCTTTGGTCATGGGATCTGCAACCATCATATCGGTACTAATATGCTCAATGCTAACTTCTTGCTTCTTAACACGGTCTCAAATAGCAAGATACTTTATGTCAATATGCTTGCTTTGGCTACCACGAGACTGGTGCTAGTGTCCATTTCAGATTAGTAAGTGCACACTTATTTACTAGGTGGGAGTCTCGGCCTAATCAAACAGGCTGGTTTGTTAAGGACGTTTGAAGCAAATCAGCCTCATCCCATGATTTATACCAGTGACTGAATTTCTCATCCGTGGTTGTAAAATAGTAGAGCTAGAAGAGGAGAATTCCATTATAATGCCTTGTGAATCTGCTTCTATGGTTATGTTTCGAAGTGTTAAGTATGTTTAGGACCCATCTGTAAATGAAGGTGTCCTATCAAGTGACTGCTTACTCCAAACCATTTAATTAAGACTGTGATGTGTCCTGGTTCCTCTTCCACCCTCGCATAGAAAATTCTTCAAAAATGGTCAATTGATATTTCTTAAAACCTTCAATTAGTAACATTTAACTCCTTGAAGCTCAATGAGTTATCTCGTTATGAATTGTCTAAATGAATTTGCCCTTATTTGCGACTGCTGCCTTGACTGAAGGCCCATATGATTGTGCGCCATGGGGTGAGTTTCCTTTTTATTTTTTGTAGGCTATGAGTTCGAATAGGTTATTATAGTTTTCTTTTAAAAGCACAAAGAAGATTCGACACTACAGAGTTGAATGGAAACCACACCACAAATCAACTTCACATTGAACTTCATTGTCAATAGAGTTTGCATAGAATAGGATAAAGCAGAGCTGAAATTTTATCTTGTCTGTCATAATCATTTCTGTGGGATCTTTGGTTGCTTGTTACTTCAAAACACCAGTCAATCTTGAAAACAGCCTCCATCACTATATTGTAAACGTGTATCAAAATCCAAATCGATTCTCCAACTTTCTCCACTTTTCATTTCTCAAATTTTTAATGGTTGTCTTTTTATATTCTTTGTTTTGCAAAGATTGTGACGTATCAGATAATTATAGATAGTTTGGTCCATCAACTTTGTCTTCTTTATTCCTGTTTTATCTTTTCCAGTCATGGACTTGAAGTGATGAAAGAAAGGGAAGTGTGGGGTCTTGAATTTGTTAGTCTGTCCCGCCACGCATGTAGTGTGTGCGCCCATGACACTGGTGGCAACTTATCTCCTCGCCGTTGACACAAGACTACCGAATAATCACCCTTCATTTACACATTATTAGGTTTAGTAAGTGGGTCAACAATGTGACTTGTATATCATTTTTCTTCATAAAAATAGCTCAAAAAATTGATGTACGACTTAAATTTAATTATTATATAATGGAATTCTCACCTGAAATGAATTTAACTAAACTATTCATTACTTTTTCTTGATACCTAGCACTGCCCAAAAAAATTGCCAAAAAAGTTAATAAAAAAATTGATGTGTAACTTGCATTCATTTCAAACCTTCATTACTTTTTTTTTATTATTTCTCGGGATAAATTTTCCTTTGTGCTATCATTGTTGTTTATAATTTGTTCTTTCTTTTGGTTGTGCTTTTGCACAAATTTTGAAAAAATTGTTAAGTAGTCCTGAATCTTTTGCTTCCATATTGTTTTCAATAAATAAAAAATTACAATATTTGATGAACTATTCAAATTTTTTTACAACTACCTAATAAAAATTGGTTAATATTATCTCATTCATATTTTTTTTACTATGTCATTAGTTGAAAACAACATGTGAACGTCACATGATTATGAGTATTTTACCAATTGTAAGTTATTTTGTAGCAGAATCCTCAAACATAAACAGTGCTAAACTAGTTTCTTAAATTTCGATTGTTTCATGAAATTTTGTTTTGTAAATATAACTTTAAGATTGAAGTTGTACTTTCAAAATTTTATATAGTAAATCAGTTGAAATTGACTGAACTAGTGAAGTTAATTACCACTGTTGGGCTTGTTACGTATATTGTGCCTCTCTATTCATCTGTGCTAAACCAAGTTTACCATGTTGACAGGATAATAGATAACAAGACGTTAAGGTTGATCACTGAGTATTCAGAATGCTCTCCATCAAAGTTGGACAAAGATTATTTAAATTGTAATCTTTGCAGTATTCTTTCTCTTCTTTTATTTAGTTGTCAGATTCATAGATGACAAGACGTTACGGTTGATCATTGTCTGCATTGTCTGAAGTCATCAGTTCTTTATAGACTGGGTCAGCTTTCATTTTCAGTTGTCTTGAGGATTGTATATGATCATAGGAATATAAATTTGGCATCCCCCAGATTAACCTTATTACTTATAGATTACTTTTTCTCAGTCCCTTGAACCTTATTTTGTCAATTATTAACTTTTGGTTACCATGAGCTGAAGCGATCAAATGGCTCTTCTGAATCATTGTTGCAGTAAATTTCTGGTAACCTATGAAGCACGGATACTTCAAAAAGGGTGACGTATTCGTATCGGATACTTATCGGATACCGATACTCCTCGGATACTCGCGGATACGTATCGGATACTTCTTAATTTATTTTTTATTAATTTTGAAGTATCGGATACTTAATTTTGAAGTATCGGATACTCGAAGTTACATATTACTTATAATATTTTGTTTAGTTCTTTGATAAGAGGATTATAGTAAGAGTTAAAGTAATAGAATTTGTCAAATTGATGTATCCTTGTTGTCTCTCTCACTTCTCTCTCGCTTTCTCACTCTCACGTTTCTTCTTTCTGCTCTCATTCTTTTTTCATGTTGGCATGTAAGGATGATGTTTAATTTGCATTTTCATTTGCTTTTGTTTTTAGTTTTGGATGTTTTATAAATGTTTGAGTACTTTTAGGTTAATAGGAATCCCTTTCTTTATTTATTAATTTACTTTAAGTTTTATTTTCATGCATATTACATTATTAAAATTAAATTTTTTTTTTTTTTTACGAATGTATCCCTGCTGTACCCGTATCATACTTTTTCAAGTTTTGACATATCACCATATCCACATCCCCATATCACCATATCCGTATTCGTGCTTCCTAGGCTATCATTGATGACTTAAAAAAGTATATTTGCTGAAATTTTTATTTAAGAATGGTTTTTTGGCTTTAGCTAAGGTATTGTGATATTCACTGATGAAGGGGAACAAGTTGAAGCAATTGACCTTGAAGACTCTTAGTTTTATAGGAATCTTTCTTCTTTATCAAGTTGTCTTTTGCTTTAGGTTTTATTTTTATGCATACTGCATTACTAAAAATTGTTAAAATAATATTTTTTACGAACGTATCCCCACCGTACCCGTATCATAGTTTTTCAAATTTTGTCGTATCGTCGTATCCGTATCGTGTCGTATCCGTATCCGTATCTTGTATCTGTATCCGTGCTTCCTAGCTGGTAACTAAATATTAAAGAACTACCATTGAATGAAGGTAGACCTTTGTGCCTTTTTGATTTTGTGCTTCTTAATGGTGAATGTGTTTTCAAATGAGTGACTCTTCCTATTCCTCAATTTGCAAAGAAAGCTGAAGATGTTTTCATGTATCTGCATAGTTTATTTTCTTTGAATGGATATATAGACATCATTATTCTGCCTAAATGAGGTAACTTCATTAGAGGTAACTTCATTGGAGGTATGAAAAAAAAAGTTTTGCTTTATGTGGATTTTATTTGCATATACGTTAAGACTATTGAGATTTTGAATTTTTGCTAATTTTTCATTATGACATTGTTTTTATGGGGCCATTAAATTATTTTATTAATTTTAGAAATGTTTTGTTGATATTTTAAAATTTCTTGATCATTTCTTAATACCTCAAAAAATATTTTTGTTCCCGAGGAGTTGGTTTTTGTACTTATGTGAAGTTTCCTTTGTCATGCAAATAAGAAATGCAATAGGGTTAGTTGCTCTAGCTATTGCCGCGGGTTTAGGTGCCTGAACACGTACATTGGGCATCCTCGTCCAAGTGATACGAGCAAGTGGATTTGCTACAACTGCAACTGCTATAGGACCTGTTGTCGGTAGTTTTAGATATGTTTAGAAAGTTTGATATGCATAGTTTTGGATGGTTTAAATTTTTTGTACAATTTAGAACTTAAGAATATAGTTTTCGAATGTTTGGAATGTATAGACAATTGTTGAATGTTTATAATTTATGGATATCGTTTCTTTTTGATGTTTCAAACTATATTTTGGTGGTTGATTGATGTTTTGTGATGTTTGTTTGTAATATTTGTTAGATTGTACAAAATTGGTTAAATAGAACCTGCTAAATTTAAAAATTAAAAAAAAAAAAATTACATATTCTACGGCAGACATAATAAGTCAGCGTATTACATATTATACGGCGTGCAATTAGCGTAGTTATTTGTCTCCGCAATTAACGGCGTGTAAAAGCAGTCGTAAAAAAAGTAACAACGACGCACAAAATTTGTTGTTAAATAGGTTTTAACAACGTACTGTAACATGTCGTAGAAAAAGTAACGACGCACAAAATTGAAGCATGGCGTTGAAAGTGAATGACTTTTCATGACTGGTCATAATATGACGCATGTTGCACGTCGTAGAAGGGTTTTTATGGCTTGCATTGCGCGCCGTAAAAACCTTTTTTTTGTTGTAGTGTACGTGTTTAATCGTATGTTGTTCAAATCGATCCATATGCCATATTAATAGCCGAGCCTATTAATAGCATTCTTCGCATATGCTGCATTAGACACTTAATATAGTTAGGAATCATGCATATTTTCCTAGGTGAGTTTTTATGCTTTAGCATACTTGCATAAGTGTGAATGTAGCCATGTTTTGCATGATTGCCATGAGACTGTGCTGAAATGCTAAACTACTTGAATGCCTATGGATGAAGGCTTGTTGTTTGAATTGAAACAATTCAACAAATGTATGTTTTAAGCCCACTTTGTTGAGTGGAAAAACATGTTTTACGCCCACTATGTTTGGTGACAAATCTGCAAATTTTAAACCCACTTGAGATGGCAAATTCAAACTATTTTTGCAAACAAACATGAGTTGAATTGTTCCAAATTAACTAAACTAGTCTATACTTGATTGTGTGCATCACATAATAATACTAGTTTAATAACCGGAATAAGAACACATAATGTTTATAAAAGATCATATCATGATTAGTAGAGGCCGATCTTTGATCGGGCGAGCGGAAATTCTCAATTCATGACCTTCCCCTCTCGTATTTAAGTTCCCAAGCCAAGGCAACTTTGGTGATGACGGACACGTGGCCTTTGGTATGAGTCAGGGTTTCCTAAATTTTTCCAATAAAAAATATTTAGGTGGTGATTCTGTATTTGGCAAAACAGTCCAATTTTGGTACTTTTTTTATTCAAAATCGATTTTCCAAAACGATTTGCCGAATTTGGACTCTTTGGTGTTTATCAGTTTCACATTGTACTTGTGAGATTAGATTCAGAACCACGGGAGTCCGAACTGTGAGGCCTTTCTTTTCAAACCTTCCGGAAGGGGGCGTGGAAAAAGGGGAGGCTTGTAGTGTAAACACCCCATTTTGACTGGTCCTAAAACTTGCATGCCCTTTTCTAAGCACCAGATGATGAAAATCTGAAACTCGTGTTACCTTCTATTTCTCCAACATAAAGCTCAAGTCTGAAAGCAAATCCCATCATTTTTCACCCGTTTTGGCCAAATGTTTTTAGATTTTTAAAAACTTTGTTAGGCATAATTTATTTTGATGATTATTTATTATATGTTTTGATTTATTTTGAGAGTTGAATATTAATTCAACTATTACAAATTGAGGATAATTCTTAAATTCATTTGTTAAAGATCTTTTATAACCAAAAATGGAGATTAACATGCTAAGAAGAACAGCCTAGAACTGCCCCAGCCAAAGTAGCCCAGCAACAAAGCAAAGCAGCCCAGTCCACAAGGGGCTAGACGTCCACAGGGACTATCGGCCATGGCATTTGGCCCAGTTTTGCTCCAGTTCAATTCTGCTTCGCTCTGGCTGTCAAACTAGCAGTATACTCAATTACTGCGACAGTCATCCCTGACGACCAGGACTTGACCGGACATCCGGGAGGACGTCTAGATGGATGACCACCAAGAGCAAAACTTCATTTGGACATCCGGGTGGACGACCACTCTGTGTTGCAACGATTATTTTTCAAAAATACTTGCCAACAATCAGACCCATTTTTCAACTACTTCAACATCTAATCATGTATGGGGAATGTAAGTTTGAGTTGAGTAGATTTAACCAAAATCTCACTCAATCTTCTCAACACACGCGACAGACAATAGATGAATTTCTCCTTAAATAAATAGTCGTGCTCTTGTTGTTGAAGTAGATACAACAACAACAACAACAACATAAGCAAGAAATCATTTTTGACCTTTCATCAATCTCATTTTCTCCATTCTCTGAAGTGTTCATCATTTGATTTTTATTTTCCCTTCAGAAATTATAGTGAGCTTTAGCTTTTAGCGTATACACTTATGAGAGGTTTTTACTGATATAACTCAGAGCTTCAATCTTTGAAATATTTCTTGAGAGAGAGTTTCATTTCTAACTTTCTGTGAAAGCAATGTGAGAATTAAAATAATTTTAATTCAGAAAGAAGAATACCTCATGCCATGATATTCAAACCTTTGAATCTTTATCCTTGAATGATCAAATCTTGAATGTATAAACAAAACCCACTTACTGAACACTTTTACAGAACCATATGGGAAAAGTGGAAGGAACAGAGTTTCAAGCCTATTCTATTCACAAAACGACGTCTGTGTTTGATGGCTATCACAGGCATATATATAGATAGGCTTGGACCCATATCCAAGTGTAACTCCTTATAACTTCCCACCATCAGGGAAGTTGTAAAGTCCCATAAAACCACCATATGGGACAATGAACAGACATTAGTTACCCATTAGTTATTAAACCAATTGAATATATATAATAAATATATATAATATAAATAAATAAATAAATAAAACAAACAAACATGTGGCATATGGGCCACTTTATGGATATTCTTACATTCTCTCACTTGGCACATATAACACGTTGTTGACTGTCAGGTAACTAACAAACTGATGATGGTGTAGACACCCCAGTTTTGACCATCCTTAAGACTTGGACGTCATCGTTTGAACACTCGATGATTACCCTTGTTTGTGTTCGTCTTGAGTTCTCGGAGGTTTCGGCTACGCGCCTTACCTCAAGACCTCTCGACTTGTTTGTTTTTTGTTTGGTTTTGCATCAAACACTTGTTGTTTTGCTTCTGAGGGTGGGAAATAGCTTGTAAGCCATCCCCACACCTCACCGGCCATGGCTTGAGGCCACCGGCCTTGTTTCCTTGCCACCGGCCTTGTTTCCTTGCCACCGGCCATTGGTGATGGCCGGTCGGCACTATTGATGGTCGGTCGGCATTGTGTTTGGTTGGCCGGCCACTGATTTTGGTCAATCGGCCACTTTTTCTGGCCGAGACCTTTTCTTGAGGGGGTTTGAACCTTTTGAACCCTTGGTTCTAGCTTCTTGAGGAAGTTTGAACATTTTGAACCCTTGGTTCTAGTTTCTTGAGGAAGGTTGAACCTTTTGAACCCTTGGTTTTAGCTTCTTGAGGAAGCTTGAACCTTTTGAATCTTTGTTCTAGCTTCTTCAAGAAGCTTGGACCCTTTGTCTAGCTTCTCCAAGAAGCTTGGCCTTTTTGTCTAGCTTCTCCAAGAAACTTGGCCTTCTTGGCCCTTTTGCTACCCTTCTTCCTCTATAAAAGAAGAGCTCCTCTTCCATTGCAAGGGTTCCAACACTTTTGTCTAAGACAAAAACATATATCTCTCTTGATATCTCTACATCCAAGCCTCCAAAGTGCTTGGTTCTTGACCCCTTTGCACCACAACTCCTAAGCACACACCTCCACCACTCATCTAAGGTTCTTAGAGGGTCTTGTGGGGACTCAAGACTTGGTTTTAACTCAGAAAAATCTGCTGGAGTGCTGGTTTTGAAGAAAGTCTTCAAGGGTGAGTTTCTAAGCCTTAAATCCCCATTTCTTGCACAAGCTTTTAGCCTATCTTGCATGCTGTTTTGGGCTTTGTCATAAACTGAAAAAAGTCTTGTTTTTGAGTTCTTTAAATAGTTGTTTAAGATCACTTTGTTGTTTGGGGTTGTTTGACCCCTCTAAGGCCTTGTTTGGCCCCTATTTTGTGCTATTTCGGTGAGCTCCGGGACCACCTTGTTTGGACCTCCTCATCACTGAAATCTTAAGGGATTTCAGTGGTGGGGATGGTGCTTTAAGGTTCTAAGAAGGAGAGGGCCATCCCCTCTATTTATTGTCTTCAAAATGTGCCATTTTAGCCTCATGTGTGAGCACCATTCTTGAGTTCATGTTGGCCATGTCTTAAGTGTTATTTGTGCTTATTTTTCCATGATATAGCACTGTTTTAAGTTGGTTTAGACGCACCATACATGCTTAGCATACTTGTCTTGTAATGCCATGAAATTGCCTTAACATGCTTTGTGCTTTGAGCCTTGTTTCTAGCATGATTTTGGCTTAGCTTTGTGAAGCTTTTATGCATATTTTGGCATGATTTAGGTCTGATTTTGGTTGTTTGGGTCATCCATGACTTGCTTTGTA